AGCGTTGGGGATGAAGACAGTGCCGAGCAGATCCACTCTGGAGACGTTTTGCGACTGAGACTAGTGACCCTGACATGCGGCCCCCAAGCCGTCATGCTGCATTCAAAGCATTGGCGTCTCCATGTTCCGTCGCTTTACTCTCTCTCTCCTCACCTTGATTGATGTGGATTGACGTTGTCACTGAGGAAATCAGGCGTTCTTTTCAATCTCTCCGTTGAACGGATACACTCTTTTCGGTTCATAGTCCTGGAGACACTCCTTTTCGTTACTTTATTTTCTTGATATATCTGCACTATTGGCCCCTTGGCGTGTGTCTAACATTATCTAATACTTGTTTATTACTTTTATCATGGCTCGCTATCAGCTGAGGCGACCATCGCCAGTCTCCATCTTCCCCAGGCACTCGCGACGTCAAGATGGTGCTGTGACTACTATGCCCCTTCCGGAAGGGGGGGAAGAGGAGGACGAAGGACCAGAGAGCCCAGACTCGCCATTCAGCAGCCCTTCAACAGTTGGCGGCGGGTCGTCCTCAAGTGAAGATTCAGAATCCGACGATGATGAGGAGCCACCCTCGCCGATGGAATCCGGTGCATCATCCCGACCTGTCCAAACTCTCGGTCCTGATCCGACCATGCCACCCTCTATATCGAGCACCGCGACAGATGTGCCCGCGTTACAAGTTACCACAGAAGCAGCTCTATCATTGAGCACAACTCTATCATGGAACACCGGCACTACGTTAGAAACGACGACTCTTCCCTCCACAACATCTCTCCCGGGAGACAGGATACAAAGCGACAGACAAAAGCAAGCTTCACCGACAGCTTCCGTGTCTCTTCCTCCGCCTCCACCTCCGCCTCTATCAACTGCAGAAGCGGAAATGACGGGTGAAACAGGCGCTGCGGAAAGGTTGCCAGAAGAACAGACACCCATAATGACAAAACAAGCCATGGTAGCAGCAATCGTCCTTGGTGTACTTGGTTAGTCACTGCTATACTTTTTATTTCATAATTGATAATGCCTAACAATCAAACAGGTGCGCTGGCCCTTCTCGTTGCCGCCATCGTCTTCATCAAGCGCCGCAAAGGCAAGCAATATACCCGCCATGTGTCCATGCAAGACGATTCTTTCAATTCATCCATGGCACAGGCTCTGCGAGCTCCGGAGAGCGCACACACAGGTACTGTATCCTCAGTCTTCGCGCGTCTACAAGGGGCCAGTAACGGCGGAGGAGAAGGCCATTTGACCCGCTCAACGGACCGCAGCAACACTCTGTTTGGCCCAGGTGAATACTTGCGTCCAGAAACGGTATCCACAGACCGTAGCCGCTCACGCATGGAGCCTCCAACACCCAACCCCTTTGCCGATCCTCAGCGTAACAAGGCATATGATATGCTTCACGACAGGCCGAGGAGCACAACGCTTACAGATCGAGGTAGCTGGAGGGAAAACCCCTTCAAAAACCCAGAGAGTGATCGGTTTGATCCTTTTGGCGAGCTCAAGGAGAAGGCCCGGAGAGAGAGGCTACGATATCTGGAAGAGGTTAAACGGGAGGCGGAGCTGCAAAGGCAATTGCAACAGAAAGAAGCCATGGGACTGCGACCAGATGATATGCCATGGGGCCACGACAATGGATACAGATGAAAGCACGCATATGGGAGTCATATGGGAGTCCAATGTATTTATATATCTTCAATTGCTAATGGGACTGCCATGTGGTCAAAGTTACGTTCTTGGTGACGCGCCATCACGTGAAAACCGTCCCCGCCTTGCAATGGCGTGTGAAGCGAGACTGGTGCCTGGAGCACACCAGCCAATGACGAGCATGACACCCACTTCTACACCACATCTAGCAGCAGTCATTTCACGGCTACGAAGTAGAGCTTATTTAAAAAGCATTGACTTTTGGCAATGCATCGATCTACTCTTCTTTTTCCTTTTCCCTCTCTCACGCGACCATGGCCCAGGCAACGCGCGCAGTTCCACCAGAAGATGTCGCGCACGACCATCTCTGCCCCGTGAGCTACACACGCGGCAGAAAAATTCCAGGCCGAGATCTGCTCACATCTTTCAGATCTGCCAGCTTCTCCTCTTCACTCCCGTGAGGACCCAATGCAACCATTTGCTGTGCGCATCATGTATGGCACAATGGGCTGACGCATCGTCTACCAACCAAATCGAGCATTCGAGCTTGGATGTGCATCTCGCAGACTTTGATCCCAACTATGATCCCAGCTACGACCTCGAAGCCAACTGTCCTATGTGCAGGACACATACGACAGCATCTCCAGATAAGCCTTTGGCAAGACAGTTGGAGGCCAAGTATCCCGTGACTTATGCGGAAAGACGTGTGGAAGAGGAGGTTGACAGGGGCTCTCTTATTGGACAAGATGGTGTTGAGGGTGTCATGATTCTTATAGGAAACAAGCATAGGTTGATTAGGAACCCTGGGAGTGCGAATGAACATCTTTGGACGTTTTTTGTGCGCACTTCAAGGCCGGAACTCATTAAGGAAGTGCATATTTATCTGGTCAGTTTTGCATGTTCAAGTTGTCTCTTGGTCAAGAAGCGGGATGCGAAAGCCATTCGATACAAAGTCCAGGATGCGCAGAATTTGGAGTTGTACATGGCTCATTTTACACATGCACATGTGCTATGGCTACTGGTTGATGTACTGCTTTGCGCGAGAAGGCTAACATATCACAGCATCCGACATTCCGGCCCAGCCACCGTGTCCTCCGAACCGCACCGTACGAGTTCGAAGCACAAGGCTGGGGCTTCTTCACTATCGAGTCCAAAATCGTCCTAAAGGCGCCGTACAACTGGATCATTGACAATGCCGGTACCAAAAAGCAGGGACTCGAACTCTCGTGGACTCTAGACTTTGAAGGCAGAGGTAGGCAGGGCCGAGTAAGAGCCAAGGTTAAGAAATTCGAGGCCGAAACCGCTCCAGTTGGCCGCACGTTAAGGTCGAGACATATACCTCCTACGACTGAACCGGAGGTAAACAATGAGAACGAGGATGGCGATGAAGACTCATCAGAAGACGACGTAGAAGATGAAGGAGACAGCGAGTTCATCGTATCATCCCGAAGATCTCGAAGATAGCACTTCAGAATCAAACTCAGTCCAGCTACTCAATTCTCACTGAGACATTCTACCTTCGGAATACCTTGGTCCGGCACATTTGGCGCCTTACAAGCAGCGTCTTGTTTCCCTGTTTCAGTAGTCGAAGAATCTACCGAGAATACCATCGTGACACAAGGTAGGTGCGCATCGGCTTAGCGGCCATCGAATTGACCGCATTGCATATCGTGTTCGATGCGATGCGATTTTGTTCCGTGCGATCATGTTTACAGTATACGATGTTGTTTTGCGCGGATGACAGGCGCGAGTCATACAAACGTGCTTTGAGAACAATGTTAGTGTGTAGGAGCTGTCGGTTGGGCACGGTGCATTGTGAGACACGATCGGTAAAACATCTTGGTGTTTCTATCGGCATTGTTGGGTTTTATGCCTTTTCTTGTTTCTAGACATTAGCGAGTTCCGTTTAAACTTTGAGAAACTAGGCGAGGCGTGCTCGTGGATTGTTGAGGCCTCACATTATCGTCAGGCAAAGCGGTTTTGGCCTTGTGCTGAAGGGAAAGCCTGGAAGGTTATGCATGTATAGGCCAAACTCGAGTCCAAACAAAGCACATGTCAGAGTATTATGGTAAGAGGGCATAATGTTTCGGACGCTGCTATCAATAGGACTTGACAAGGTAATGATAATCTCCATTAATAGTTCCGAGTAGCTATAACGTTATGCGATATACAGCTTGAGTTCATATCTCTGCTACCAGAAGTCACGCAAAAGCACATAGGCCTGTAGTTGACAATTAAAATAATACCCAAGTCGGAATCATGTCAAAGAATCGGTCAAAGAAGAAGCAAAGCTATGATAGTGCATACATCTTACAATTTCTCCTAAGTATCCATAGTGCCATGGCGAACAAAAACATGCGTCTGAGAAATTACCCAGAGTAGCCTCTCCCATGACATGTGCCACATGGCCACCATCAACTTTTCTGTTACGTGCCCACCTTCCTCTCCTATCGCTACCTCATCCTTCAGCCCCCACAGTTAATCACCACCAACACACATGTCCTTTTAAATGCAATTGTGGCCAATGAGGGCTGATGGTGGCGGCGCGGCACACGGCTAGCTCAGCATTGAGAATGCGGGGCACCGTCAGGCAACTACAGACTCCGGGGTGCGGCGGATCAGGGTGCAATCCTTCGATGACGGTTAAGATTTGATGCTCCTGTTTTTTTTCTTTGCTCCTATTTCCAACCCAGCGTCTCTCATTCCATCATCTCATTGCTCGTGAATCGAATGAGTTTGTTGTGGGGCTGAAACCAAAGAACCTGGAGAGAGGATCGAAATAGTTAGGCGGTGTGAGCATTACGGGAGGAGCTTGGCGCCACCTCGTGAGAATCACGGCAGTCAGCGCTGACGGGAGACGAAAAGGGATAACAATCTTCTTGTCGACGCGTTTGGAGGACGAACCAAGTACAATAAAGCCAGGAGGAGTATTGCGAGAAAACGAGCAGAGTCGGCTTAACAGTGCGCGATACTACAACAACAGCAGCAGCAGTCTCTTTGTGTTTCAAAAGGGGGTTTCACGTGCGCAAAGGGGTGAGGAAAGGAAAAGAGTCGGCAGCAAACGCGTCGACTGAGGAAGAACCGTGGAATGGGCTGATTGAGGAGAGCTTCTTGTCGCATTTTTGCGGCCAAACATCAGTGGGCTACGTTAAGACGTTTGCGAAGAGGCAACCACGACGACGACACTGGCCAACACGGCTTAGCTTTCGTGGATGCTGCTCAGCACGCCACAACCACACATTCAAGACACACACAAAGGCCATTTCTTTTGTGGGAAGCCTGGTACATCTGCAATACCATTGCTACACCCACTCTATTCCTATCCGAATCTCCTAGATCCTACACATCACACCGCCATGCTCCTTACAATAAAAACAACGCACCCTCGGGCAAATGACCTGATGTCCCTGCTCTGGAACTGGCACCTCCACAAGCGAGAAACAACACTCTTCCGCCGCCTCGGCATGCACAGCCTAGAAATCGCTGGGCTCTCAACCGCGATGCTCATCATTCCTCTTATCATGCACCGTGTCGTCCAGGGTTTTGACGAAATGTATGACATTCTGGGGCGGCGAGCAAAATCACCGTACGCTCAGTTGTCTTGGGTAAATATCGCATTTGCATTTGTGATGCTGGTCGGGTGGCATCTGTGGCTAGGGAGGCTGACCTACTTGACGGTATTGGAGAGCGATGTAGATGAAGAGAAGGACGACGGAAGGAAAGACGAGATTACAGCTTTGTCTAGTTCGGCGGAGAGAAGCAAGAATGGGTCAGGAAAGGGGGGAATATCTTGGAGTCGCATACTAGGACGCATCTTGATACCTCTCCTACTTGTAACATTGGGACTGCATTTTGGGTATCAAGTCTGCCGACAATTAATAGCAGACACAAGACCGCTTATCACACGAAATGATGTCGACATGCAGGAAGCAATGGGACAGCTCTATGGGCTAGTGTAAAATATACAAGCGTAGCTTTTCTGGGTTCCATAGAAGAATAGGGAAGAAAAAAGTGTCATGCAAAGGAAACATGCCGTAAAAAGGAAGGGGTAGCCAACTAGAATGCTATATACGCATACTACACTAGTTCCACCAAACTACAACTACCACACCTCACCAAACAAGCCCCTTTGTACCAGGCAACCCCTACAACGCTAACCCCCAACCTCCTCCTTTCATCCTTCCATCCACCCTTCCATACATACCACTTATCCGCCCCGCCCATCTCCATCCCCGCAACCAAGCGCAAGCCCGCCAAAAAGAAGAAGAAAAAAGAGCGCCTCACATGCCTCGGACCCCTCATCCCAACACAGCCATCCCACCCCGTCTTTTTTTCCCCGCAGAAAACCCCAGATTCCACTCCTTCATTACACTACATACCATGCAGAGCTACACTACTCCCCTATCCCTCCCCCCTCTTCCACCCCCACACACACCTGCGCGTATATTTCCCATCCCCCCGCAAATTCGGCAAGTTCCACGGGTAGCAAGTAAGTAAGTACGCAAACACCATCATAAGCACGCACGCACGTAGCAACCGTTACATGGCGGCAGCACTCCGGGACCGGGGGGGGGGACATTCTTTGAGTCTGGGGAACCGGGGAGAACGAGGGCCATGCCCTTTTAACGCTTATACGCAACCCCTCCCTCATACGTCTATGCGTGTGTGTACACACGTGTGCGTAATATAGAGGAAACTACTTACGTACATATATGCGGAATTAACACTAGGTAGCTTGTGAGCGCCTCCCTAGGTGCCTTGGCTTACGCAGTTGAGTATGTACAAGGCGCGAACATTGAAACGGAGAAGAAGGGGGGGGTGCCGAGTCGGTCCGTTTGAGTGAAGGGGAGCGAGGGGGGGATGTTTGTGGCGGGGGGCTAGGGCTGGGGGGAGAGGGAAAAGGTCCGAATGGGTAGATACGCCATGGGGGCGGTTTGGGTTGTGAGAGAGAGGAATGGAGGGAGGTGATAAGATGGCTTACGGGATGGTTTGGCCGTGCACCTTTTTTTGTGCTGGTGAGACAAGGGAATGGGGATTAGGTTGTTTTTCGTATCTATTTTGGTGGGCTTGGGTGGGTATGGGTGTTGGCGAAGAGAAAGAGAGAGAGAGAGAGAGAATGGGTGTGAATTGGTGACGGGAATGAGGACATGGCTTCGGTGTAGTTGTATGTAGTGGATAGATGAGGAAACACGTCTTGTGTCTTTGCGTTTGAACTCATTCGTAGTCACGGCGTGGATTTGCACATAGGAGGTATATATTTATAAGGTTAGGTGACATTGGGATAAGAACGCATACCTGGGATACTGTGCACGCTCACCTGTTGCTAACATGGCCACATTTTCTACCCTACATAGTAATGCTCTACATTGTGTTCATCAGAGTTCGCTGCAAAGAATTCACAACATGTACTACACCATAAAGTCGCACCGTCAGTGATAGCCCGACTGTGAACAATTCGCCTCAAAAAGGAGATACTAGAGCCTACCTCGAGTCGATCATGCATCTTCGTCAAAAGGGTGGCGTTGTAGATGCATTGAACACGAACAATGCCCAACGAACCTCTTATCTTTCCCGACGGAAAAGTCGCACAGTACACTTTGTAAAGCAGTAAACGAGGTCATACTCAGCAAGCCCAATATCCATGTACTCAACTATTGCCTTTTTTAGCCCATGTGTCCGGTGCGTGCGGCACGGCGGAGTGCGTCTTCCGCCCTTCCAGCTCAAATCACGCAGGCTGATAGTAATCTTTCCGATATCTTCACCTCTCCTCGGACCTGCATCGCCTGCAAGTGATGTGCGGAGAGTGAACCAAGCGGCGCGCACTGTCAATAACAAAAATGGATCCCAGACCCGCCATCCGTTATCAAATGCGGAGAAAGAGGCTGCAAGGGACGGAAGAGCTAGCAGCTAGGAAGATACGGCGGCGCAATTCCACGGCCATGGATGAGTACGAGTTTGCCGGGGTGATTGGTGGTCGGTGGCTCTGTGGCGCACCCGCGAGCGGACAGCCATGTTGATAGCCAGATGGACGGGCGGGATGTAATGGACATTTTGGGATGCAAAGAGCGAAATGGTCGAATGCATACCTGACATACCAAGGGTGTGTGGTTGGGCGATGGAAGAGCACACTATGTATGGGATTCCTGGCTCCATGGCTTGGCAGGGCTTCGAGTGCAGAGGCGCATGAACTAGGCTAGGTGGTGCACGCGGCAAGCCATCGGTCCAAAGATTATTTGCTGGAGAAGCCGCCCGTTGCCAATTGATGCTTATCAACGTTTGGCCGGTCATTATAGTCGTGTGGTCCGGGCTATGAACGAGCATGAGACAGTGGCTTGGCGACGCCCCAGGCGGCCCTTGTCCATGACGACGCTCTGGTGGCCTGGCGACAGTCAGTCAGCCATCACTAGGTGTAGGTTATGGCTGCACCAGCGCAGCCGGAATCGTATTGCACGAGAGTGGCGCATGCGACAAGGAAAAATGCACCCTCGTCCAGATGTAGAGTAAAGCGATGTGCCGACTGGTAGGATTGAGGGTGTGGCTGCCGACAAACCGCAGGCCTTATCCATACCCGGTAGCCGCTTCCGAGTTTTCCGAATGAATCTTCCGACAAACAGCCATGGGTGCACTGCGCATCTCCTCGTACATAGATGCCAGACCGGAGATAGGCAGCACGATATGTCGTGGCAATCTTTAGCACCATGCCCATGGCTGAACGTGGCGCTGCGTGGCAAAGCCTAAGCGTTGTTTGGGGAAGAGTAATCGATATCGAAGACTCGGCTAGATTCACAATCGCGTGGAAGTCACATGTACATTTGCCGCATGGGTAGCGTCGCGTGTAGGTGTACGGCTATGGTGGCGTCGCTTCGGCTGGTCGCAATCGGGTGCCAAAATATCAGTGTTGCTTGGGTTTGGGGATGGGGATCGAAGATCGGATATCAGCCTGGCTGTTTGTCGCAATGGGATAGGAGAGGTCGTCAATAATCGCAAGTCGCCACCAATCGCAAATTGCCACAATGTTGTTTCTGCAAAAGAAATGGGTATTGAATTCATCTGGACACGTAACCAGCACCTGTGGGCTGTTCAAACGACCGGTCTAACCATCTAGGTTAATATATCATCAAAAAACCTTACTGCGCACCATGCACAGTGCCAAACAAAAAGACGATGCTCATCAAATCTCAAATCATCTTAGACAGCACGCTTGTCGACAGGAACATTGCGCTTCAGACCAATGAGCTGAAGCATCTCCGTCCAGAAGCTGACGGGTGGGGTGATGAAAGAGGCCTCGTAGGCGTCAATGAGAGGAGCATCCCAAACAAGATCAACCTCGTGTGGCGCTAGCCACTTGGTCTTCTTGAACACTTTCCAGAAGATGAACAGAATTGGAGCTACTATGACCATGGTGTAGTAGGTAAGGAAGGTCTCGGCAGTGAAGTTGCCGGGCTTAAAGGTGCTGTAGCCATAGACAAAGACAACGCAGATCTCGAAGCAGAGAGCGAACCAGGTTCCGTAGGGCTGGAAGTAACCGCAGTATGGGAGCGTCTTGCGGTCGAGTCCTTGGACCTTGCATGCCTTGTAAAAGGCAATGTAGGTGCCACACATGACAATGAAGTTGATCAAACCTCCAGCGGTAATGATGTTGACGAGCCATTTCAGAACCTTTGCTGAGCTGTCCGACAGTTGCAGGAAGGACAAGAAGGGGAAGATCATAACAACAATGAAGCAGTAGATGGGGACACCATTCTTAGTGCACTTGCGGAAGATCTTGGGGGCACGGCCCTCGATAGCGAGCGAGTACAAGCTGCGAGTGGCGCAGTACGTGTACGTGTTGCCGGCAGAGAAGATACTTGTGATCAAGAGGGCGTTGACAAGGTGAGGAAGACCGTTGATCTTGAGGTTGCTCATGGCAATGACGTAGGGAGAGGCAGCCGCGCTCTTCTCACCAGACTTGACCACCGACTCGAGCTGTGGGTCGTTGTAGGCTACAACGACACCAGTGCAAAGGGCACCGAGGATGAAGAAGGCACCGAATCGGAAGTAAACGGTCTTGAAAGCCGACTTGATGTAGACGCGAGGGCGCTTGGCTTCACCAGATACCATGGAGATGTACTCGGGGCCAACAATACAGAAAGAGGCAGCCCACAGAGCAGCGAGGAATCCTTCAAAACGATCGAGGTTGGTGGCGCCAGGGATGACGCCAGGGTCACGCCAGTAGCGGAAGCCATAGGCATCATGCTGAGGATTGCCACCGACCATGGTGATAAAGGTGAAGAAGTAGAGGATCAGGATAAGGAGAACCTCTGTACAACAGGTTAGTTATCTATGTTATTCACAGTCGCGCAAATCTACTTACTGCCACCTGACAGCCAAAACTCGGCTTCACCATAGGCCTTGACAGCCAAGATGTTGCAAGCACTAAAGTACGGTTAGTGGCCTTGTCTCGCAAGGGAAAGTGTAGGATATCTTACGCGTAGAGGACAATGACTGCGGCACAGACAGCGGCGACTGGGATGTCATCTCTCCAAAATTTTAGCACAACATTAAGAGCCGTTATCTCAAACGGAATCAGCAGGGCTTCATAGAAGAAGAAGTTCCAGCCGGCCATAAAGCCGAGGGCTTCGTCGACCCAGTGTCCAGCCATGCGGATGAAACCTCCGGAGACGGGCATGAAGCTGGCCATTTCAGCCATGGCGTTGTTTACGAGGGCAATGATACACGAATATCCAGCGTAGGCGAGCAGTATACCGAGAGGACCGCCAGAGTTGAGGGCACCACCGATGGACACAAACAGGGCAGTACCTATGGAGCCACCAATGGCAATGAGCTGGATTTGGCGGTTACCCAGATGACGCTGCAAGTCATCCGAGTTGTCGGTCATGTCGCCATGTTGGATATCGTCATTGGGGGCCGACTCGCGGATGAACTCGCCAGAATACTTCTTTTCTTGTTCCATGGTTGCAAAGGGGATTGTCGCTTAGGCAAAAAGGGCAATTGTCGCTAGGGAGCAGTGGGGGGTGGTCGCAATGGAAAGTCGCTTTAGGTATGGGCTAAGCTGGGGTGGGCTGGGGTGGGCTTGTCGCTGTGGAGTAGAGGGCTGGGGAGGGAGGCCGACTATCAGTCGCGTGTGGGGAATGGAGAGGGCGCAGCGAGGGCTACCAAACGAGTCGCACTGAAGAGCAGTGAACGAAAGGGAGGGGGGAGGAGGTAGGGGCGATGGAGGAGAAGACCCTTATCACAGACCAGGTCCTGGGGTGAAGAGCAGGGTCTTTATATGTTACTACAGCTGGGAGCGGGACATAAGGGCATTGCCTTGCCTATGGGTGGATCCTCGCGGTGGTGAGGGCTGGGATACGACGAGGAGCCGAGAAAGGTTTGGCAGGGCGCTAGTATGGCGGTCTTGACTAGCCCATCCGGGACTAGTTGCGCGTACCCACCGTGCTGGGCATGGCATCGACGGCAGGCGGCACAGCACAGAGTTTTCAGACAAGGCCAGCCGTGGGCAACCCTGCTCGTCGTGTGGTGTGCAAATGCGCCATGGAGAATGGCTGGGCCGTCGTGGGTGTATGGTGTACTAGAGGGTGGGCTTGCGTTAGTGACCCGGGGTGGGCGACAATTTGCCCCAGCATAAGAGTGAGAGCATCCTGGGTGTGCTCATGGGTTGCCGCGCCTAGAGTAGCTCAGGCAGGCGAACAGGCGAACAGGCGACCAGGGCCCATGTCACCGGCCGCGCGACGACAGTTGGGGGAACGTAATCCAGTCTGGCGGAGGACAAGGCTATGGATAGGTGCGTTCGCACGTCGCCGAAGCGTGCTAGTGGATGCATCGCAGTGTGTCGGCAGGTATCGGGCTCCTGCCCCAAGGCTGGGTGCGGGCGAGCGTACGAGAACGAGTGCGCGAGCGGGTGGGGGTCTATACATGTCGCTAACAAGAGGCTCGCGTGTTTTGGGAGAAAGAGGGAGTTGGATGCGATAGGGCGTCGTGGGTGCAGGTAAGCTGTGAGCTGTGAGCTGATCGGGAGCCGCACCAGTGTCAAAACCGCTGGACCGACTCTCGGCTGATAGCAAGGAACAGCGCCGCAAGTGCTTGAATCAAGTGTTGCGCATCGCAAGCGTTGAGAGATTGGCGTTGCTTAGAGGCCGGGCAGACACAAATCAAATGACGGCATCATGCTTGAGAAGTGCCGAGCCAAGGAGCGCACGGCCGTCGCGTCTGCTATGAGTTACTGTCGATTCGCTTGGAGATACTTGTCGTTTTACCACTACCAATATTTCTTAGCCGTCCCCAGCCCAGCCAGCTCAGCTCACGCGACCATGTGACTTGCCTAACTGTTTCGTCGTCTATCCGCCTCGGCATGGCCTCATGGCCGGCCTGGGCTGCCGTCATCATGCATCAAGTCACGTGTCGGCGGCAACAGGGTCTCTTGCACCCAAACACTGGGACATGGGGGACGGTCATGTGACGACTTCATACTAGAACCACACAGCTGGTAACATTACATAACACTAAGAGTAGGTGTAGTTTAGTGTAGTTCACATTATCTACTTACTAGTCTTCCTGGCCCTTGTTGTCCAGCCATGCTCCACGCCATCACATGCCACTAGCTCACCTGCAGGCAATTGCCTTCCAGAAGCTGTTCATCAGCCGCATCCCATAAACTTTCGGGAACCAACCGACACGGTCTACTCTGCGGCCTCTCGAGGCATGCACTGCTGCTTCGTGATGCAGTAGCTATACTACATACTAGTACATATGTCCATCCATACATGTGTAGGCGCTTATCGACGGGCTGCCCCGCTCCCGCTGCCTGCCCCGCAATGCCACATGGCATGCCACCTTCCTTTTGCTTCGCGTTTCCACCACTGTCATCTTGCTCGATCCTGCAATGTGCGCCACATCCAGTACCATCTGAGTGTAGCATTGGCCTTTCAAGGTATAGTCACATAAACACAACTCTAGTCAGCACTGCTCCCTGCGTCTTTTCATCCCGCTCTCCGCCCTCACCGAGCATCTCCGACTTGCTTTTTCCTTGACAAAGTCTTCTTTACTGGCCCATGATACCCGCCACAGTACGCCTCCAGCTGTTCTTTTGACCAACCTCGCCTACAACTGGTAAACACGTCAGACGGACTGCATTGTTGAGCCTGCCGTGCGACACGCCTGCCGATCAAACCTACTGCTCACGCTTTCCTGGAAGAACCACTCCTCCCCGTTTGAGTACATGGATATATACGTTGCTTCTTGACCTCGCGAAAACCTTAGATTGTTGCACATACCAAAAGACAAAGAAAAGAAAAGGAAAATTATCACCACTAAATCATCATCATGTGTCGCTGGTTCGCCTACATCTCTGCTACGGAGCCATGCCTCCTATCTGATGTCCTCATAACTCCCGCCAACAGCATCAGCAAGCAGTGTTCCGAGCATTATCTGCCTAAGCTTCTCCCACACAATGACGACAAAGATCTTCATGACGCCCCCGACGAGCTTATGCGTATGCGAAACTCGCTCTTGAACATGGATGGCTTGGGCATTGCATGTAAGTGCAAAGTCTTTCTGATGACAAAAGACGTGCTTTGACGTACCTCATCTCTCACTCGAGCACATTTCCCGACTTGGATGTTTGCTCGGCATCAGCTTACAATCCTCCCCAGGGTACACTGAGGCCACTTCCTCATATTTGAAGCATGTAGAAGGCCCACGCCCAGCCCTATACAAGTCACAATCTCCACCCATCAACGATTTCAACTTCAAGTCCCTCTGCCAAAACACCGAGGCGAAATGTGTGTTTGCCCACATTCGCGCCACCAGCGGTAGCGTAGTGACCCAAGTTAACTCGCACCCGTTTGTTTTTGGTCGTCATGTCTTTATGCACAACGGAGTCATTTCCAACTTTTCCAGTATCCGTCGAGACATGACGGACGAATTTTCCTTTGACGCCTACTGCAATGTGCTGGGTAGCACCGACTCGGAACACGCCGCTGCCATGTACATGACATTTCTGACCGACGGCGGAGACAAGCAGAGCTGGGAGAAATCGTACCCGCTCGAGAAGATGCTCGAGGCCATGAAGAAAACAGTAGTCCGTATTCTCAAGCTACAGCACGCCAAACTCGGGGATGCGAACACGCCTAACTCTCTCAACTTTTGCACCACAGACGGCAAGAGAATGCTCGCCATCCGCTTCCGGAACCACGCTACACAGCAGCCGCCTAGTCTCTATTGGTCTGAATTTGCCGGTCGCACTCTAAACACAAAGTACCCGGGTAACCCAGATAGCAAAGAGATAGAGAATCTCGAGGCGTCGCTCGAGGTTGAGCGAATGGGCAAGCATACCATTATTGCTAGTGAGCCTACCACGTACGACGAGAATGAGTGGCACTTGATCAATGCCAATTGTGCCCTGACGGTGGATGAGGATGGTATCGAGCGCGAAGTCAAGATTGACTATGACCCTTCGTTGAATGCGCGGGATCCAAAGTATGATGGTCATGCGTAATGTGTACCAGAGTGAGCTAGAGAGAGAGAGGGGGGGAGGGAGAGTGAGGTTGCAATGAAGCTGGCCATCATTTCAAATGAAAATTACCTATGCACATTGCAGACCTTATTCAAGCGAAGTGTTTTGCCTACCTGAATAGATATTCAAATGCTAGTAAATTCAAAAAAAATATCGAACCAGGATGTACAGAAGTCGGAGAAGCTTTTCAACAAAAGCAATACTGCAACATGGAACGACAGAGCTGAAAGGGTTTAAATAGGGTATTCGTACCATCAACTCATGTGAATAGAGAAAAGATAGACTTTGAGTATCGACATGAGTAGCTAGTTAGCCAGGTCACGATATTCTTCTCTTTAGCGTCAGAATACTTGCGTAACTTTTCACATGTGCATAGTAGTCATGCATAAAAGCACTTGTAAGCTTTAAAACATGAACGACCGCAGAAGGTTGTGTTGGGAGTTTGTGTAGTAAGAGGGGAGGTGTCCTTGAGCTCCTGGTGGCTGAGGGGTGTCGTCACTTGGTTGGTTTCTAATAATTCCCTGCATTATCTATCATACAGCTCCTCCTCTTTTCCAACATTAGGAAGGAAAGGATACGCTGATCTTGAAGCTTGTAGTTGCTTGCATACAGGTCAGTTGGTACGACGGACCACATGTACGCGCCATGCGGCAAAAACACGGATCCACTAAAAAGGGTGGTACTCTACGTATATAGAATTCGGTACCGGATCCTACAAGGTCTGTGTAAGTGTAATGGTAACAACGTCCGGCAGCTATGAATTGAACCAGGATGAAACGAGGAGAAGCAACCAAATGTCGAAGATGCAAATATCACCTCAACATTTCTCGGTCGCTCGGAGTCGGCGGACAAAGGACACATTTCGTCCGACCGAAAGCCGAAACGGACTGTTGCGAGCGCGACAATGTGAGTATGGTGGTTAGGATAAGCAAGACAAACACACGAGGTGATCGCAAGGTTTCCTTGCTCTGAACAAACACATCATGTGTAGTTAACTTGTTTTGAAATAAGTATCAGGAAACCGAGCAACAAAAAAATCGGAGGCGGCTGACATAAGCCAACGAAGACCGCTTCCTGGCAGCCAGGGTGTTGCTGCGCGACGGACGGAGAACTTTGGGCGCAATACGAAGTTGAGGTGTGTACCTGGGACGGGCTGCATGGACAAGCCATCGGCCTTTAAATTGATTAGAAGCGTGCCGCCCGCTAGAGTAATGACGATGACGACGCTTCTTCCCATTGCCCACAATTGCCAACGGTCGTAATTATAGCGATCATCGGCTCCGTCCAAATATAAACAAACATTGGATCTGACGTGGGTCGCCCTGCACCGCCTCTGGGGTGAGGCTATCGTGGCAATGGATACGAAGGCGTTCCCGCAAGAGCAGCCGCCAAAGCACGGACAGGACAGGGTGCCGCAGTGTCGGGCAACGGCTGCAGGCGACAGCTGGACATGGAGATTTGAAGAAGCATAGCAAATGTGCCGTCGCAAATGATGTGCAGGCGGGAATGTAGGGCTTGATAGGTTTTAAGCCCGCGTCTGCAGGCGCTGATCTCCCGCGCCAGTGTCTCACATAGCAACGTTTGGGCGCGTCGCCATTGGTCCAGGCGTCGATTACGCGGATGTGGCTATGCCGGTTTCATGCCCGAGCCCTTGATACATGATCCTTCTCCCCTATCCTCCGTCGCGCCACAACTACCACCACCAACATCGCCCCTCCCCGACACCTCTCTCCCCTTCTACCTCCCACACCCACCCCCCTCTTCCCCACGAATTGCCCGTTGCCCGGAATTTCTTTCTTCGACACCAAAAAAAGAGGCTCTGCCCCAGATACAAACTCGCCCGCGCCCCGAGCTTCCCCCCAACTGGCTTTCGCTCCTTCGCCCATTTCCCACCCGCCATCTGGTCCCTTGACTCGCCAAAAATCTTTCCCGCTGGACAGGGCCACCCACATACCGCGCCCGCAATGTGGTTCCGCAAGAAGGACAGCGACATTGAAATGTCGGGCATGATGGAAGCCGAGCAGAAGAAGAAGACGAAGACGAAGAAGTCCAACGGCCCTCCCGAAGAGACGGAATACCAAAAGTTCGACTGGAAACGCTTCTTCCTCGCCCCAAAGTACATACGTATGTTGACATGTGTCACCCCCTGCTGATCCCCATCTCTCTCCCATCCCCTCCCACTGGATTTTTTTTTTGCTGACACTGGGAAATTAGCATGGCACATATTATTCATCATCATTGGCATCATTACTGTCATCATCACCATCAAGCACGACGAAGTTGTAGAGGTACGTCTCTCTTTTCTTTGGCTCACCGCATTTCCCTTTTTTGCTTTCGGGGAGCCGGTGGGACCCACGTGACTGACGCATTACACCAGAAACTACGACCATGGTCGGAAAAAGTCCGTGATTTGCCGGCAGGATGGTTAATACCTATTGTCATTCTCGTTATTATTTCCTTCCCGCCGCTTTTCGGCCACGAGATTATTGCGCTGCTGTGCGGTGTTGTCTACGGGCTCTGGATCGGTTTTGCCATTGTTGCAGCGGGCACTTTTATCGGCGAGGGTAAGTCTATTGTTTTTTCTTCTTTCTTTTTGCTGACCCCCGAATTTCTGGACCTTTTTTTTCCACTCTCAAACGTTGGCTAATCATTCTTTTTTGCTCTGCAGTCGGCACCTGGTACGCGTTCAAATATGCTTTCCGCAGCAAGGCCTTGAAATTAGAACGCACAAATCTTAATTACGGCGCTATGGCCCGTCTGACGCGCGACGGCGGCTTCTTCATCGTCCTCATCATCCGACTTTCCGCCATCCCCGCACATTTCTCCACGGCCGTCTTTTCCACCTGCGACGTCAAGTTCTGGCATTTCGTCGTCGCAACCTTCTTCTCGCTACCCAAGCAAATCTTCCTCGTCTACCTCGGTGTGCTGCTCCTGCAACAAAGCAATGACGATGTCGTCAAAACGGTCATGTTCGGCGCCGTCTTCGTCATCACCATCGTAATGGGCATCTGGATCTACCTCAAGATGCGCACCATCAAAAAGCTGTTGCTCGAAGAGCAGGAAGTGAGGCGCGTCAAGAAGGCTGAGGCCGTCGAGCTCGTGCCTAACCCTGAGAGTGCGTACCAGAGGCGATACGACGAGGAGTCTGCGACGGAGTGGGCGCCCATGCAGCCAAAGCAGGTTAGTAGGCCGGTAGAACGGCGGTACGATGAAGATCAGGGAGACTGGGCCATGCAGCCTACACAACCAACGAGAATGGTTTGAGAGAGGGCTTTCCCTTACTTTTTTTCCCTTTCCCCTCTTTGCACCACTTCTCTTTTCTCCAAACTCATACTTGAGAAAACGTCTTTTTATATGTTCTCCGTTTGTACCAACAAAAAAGACTTAAAGAGTCGTTTTTTATTACTTAGGATTATTTAGGTATTGGTAATGGCATAATGACGTAATGAACTTTTCTTCGTTCAATCAAAAAAAAATTATACAACCCTACTTCTTCCTCTCTATATTTTTTTTCTTCGGTTGTTTTATTGTAAATATTACACACGCGGCCCACGTGCTACATTAACACACATGTGGAGAAAAGAAAAAAAGAAAAAAATTTGATTTCAATGCAAACGCATTGCTATCTTTGGTACGTTGGGCGAACGATAAGACCCTGGAACCCCCTCCCCCACTCCCACTTCCCCACTCGTTCTGGACCCACATTGCATTGCGGACTTGGATTGTTGGCATGATTGTAGGGCCCTTTTACCCTTGCACTTGCAAGAACGACCTGTTGAGCTACTGAACTGGATTTTCCGTACGAAGTTTGTACCCATTGGTCGTTTTGCACTGTTGTTCTGTGTGATCCGAGAGTCATATTTTTTTGTTGTTGTTGCGAGCACTACACCAAGTCACAGCGTAGTAGAGACTGAATGGCTACTAAGACTAGGACATTGCAGCGAGTCCAGGTTCGCTTAGACACAACAAAAGCAGACAGAGAGTAGGCTGAAGAGGCATTAAGATAGGAGTGGCGGATATAAAATGTGCTTGATGCTAGTCTTTTTTTTTCTTTTTGCTTCGGTCTATCTTGAAGTAGGAGTGTATAATCCTACTACACGGGCAAGAAAGTCTACAAATGCCTCACTATACCCAACTTGCTGAACAAACAACCACACACCCTTTTCACAGTAACTTAGGTAGTGTATCTAAACCACGGCACATAATCCGCGAGCTCGCTCTCCATCGCCTTCTGTTCCTCAGTAAGTTCCTGGTGGCCAGTCTCCAGTGCAATCTTGTCGCGGCGCGCATTCTCCATGCGGAACCAGCTTGACATGAAGAAGGTGAGGAAGAACGCCATGCTGTCCAAGCATTAGTTGCCCAGCACGTTGACCAAATAGCGATTGTGGGGGACTCACCTAACAAATCCAATCAAAATACTATGACCTGTAATAAATCGCGGTCCATCGCGCGAAACATAGACGTAGGACGCGATGATGCCACCACAGTTGCCGCCCATGACCTGCATTGCGATACCCGTCCCGCGCTTCAAGCTACCGCCAATATTACCGCTGTTCCACGCCATGCCAAGCGGGATCTGCGGGTAGATGCCGATGGCCGCAAGGACAGTGCCTGCGTACTGTACGCCGGGCGCGCTTGTAGCAGCGAGCATGGCGAAGCCGGCGATGGCGATGAGTTGGAAGGCCATGAGAAATATACCTCGTTTCTTGACGCGATCGGCGTACCAGGACGCTGCGATTGTAAAGACGCAGGCGCAGACGTAGGGCGGGACGCTCATGAGTTGGGCTTCGTTGGCGGTGTAGCCCATGTTTTTGATGATAGTGGGGAGGAAGAGGGCGAAGGAGTAGATGGGGCAGAAGCCCGCCATGCAGATGAGCATGAAGATGTAGATTTTCCAGTCCTTCAAGGCTTGGTAGACGTACTTCATGTCGAAGTCGTTGGAGAGGTGACCCGAGTCTTCGCTTAGGCGGCGCTGCACTTCTGTGCGTTCTGTAGAGGTGAGGAAGCGGGCACTGGGAGAGTCAGTACGTTGATACAGATGGCTCGTTGGTTGAGAGGGGAGAAGTGACTTACGTGGCTGGGTAGTCGTAGATGCACCAGTATGCTGCCATAGAGACTAGAATGCTTAATAGACCTTCTAGGATGAAAATCCAGGACCACGCGGCCAGTCCGCCCACGCCAGACATTTCTGCAATGCCTCGTGCAAGGATACCACCGAATGCGCCGGCGAGAGTGGCGGCACTGAAGAAGAGGGCCATTCTGAACCCGCACTCATCTCGAACATACCTAATAGAAATTAGCTGTAATCCAAACTCAAATATCAATGCTCTAGCTCCAGACCTCAGAAATAACTTACCATTGGGATATGTAATAGTTTACGCCGGGGAACAAGCCCCCTGGAAAACAGTTAGTGGCTGTACGACAGTGCGTGGTGATGGGAGAATAGGTCACCTTCAAACACACCGAGGAATACTCGTGTAGCCATAAGCCCCGAATAATTCTTGACAAAGCCCTGCAGAATCATCGACAGTGACCAGAAGAACATAATGAACGTAAGCCAGATGGAAGGCCGAGTCCGTTTCATCATTATGTTGGACGGTATCTCTGCAGCGATGTAGAAGGGAAAAAGAACCGCGAGACAGTCATTGTACTGAAGGCCATGCAGGTTGAGATCTTGTTCGAGATGATCAAGACGAGCATTGCCTATATTGGTACGGTCGAGGAAGCAAAGCCTAGGCATCTGTGAGAAACAGAGAAAACAACAGTTGAGATACGAAACTTACAGATAGATGAGAGACATGAAAGGAATGAGATACCAATCAAGCTTCCGTAGCAGCTTTTTCGTGCCTGCTTCATCAAACCCATTTGTCTCTACATCCTCAACAGATGTACCAACTGATACAGGAACGACGGTAGCGTCGTAACCAGTCTTTTCTGCCATGGCGATTAAAGATGCTCGAATTCCCTAGCAAAGGCCTCGCCCTCAGGCAAGGGCTGAGTATCCTTCAAGTACCCATAGTGCTCTATGCTGACGAATTTTGCAGATGCATGAGTGAGACAGTGCATGGTAGCTGTGCAGTACCAAGGTTCCAGACTTGCTGTCTTTTTTTCAAGAGGCTACAGTAGTGTAGCACGCCTATCTTGCCTCTTGCCCGCGTTGGTAGTGATACTCCGAGCTCAATATGTTTGTGTCACGCAAGAAGGGCTCTCAGTGGCTGGATGGTGCAGGCACCTAGACCAAATTAGCCGATGAGGCGAGAAAACGGCTAGGGCTTGTCTGGGGTAGCCAAGGCGTAATCTGTACGTTTATCTCTGCGATGTTCAAGGCTTGTAGCTAGCGAGCGCAACGGTAAAGCTTGGTTGGCCAATAGCTGAAGCTTGTGTGCGTGGGCTGACATGCATGCGGATCTTGGTTGTATCTGGGAAACGGTCATGTCAGCTTCATCAGATAGATATGCATGAATCTTGTTTACATGTAACAAAGGTAGACGTGTGAGCGACAAGATTAGTCCAGATGAATTTAGCGCTGCCTACCTGTCAAAAGGCTGGGGCAAAGACAGGGTTTCGCCCTGGCCACACTAAGTCGTTGTCACAAAAGCGGATCTAGCACTTCCCTCGGCGGTTAACGAGATCTAGAGCGATCTGGAAGCACTGATTTTAATCAACACCTCCTTCTTGCTCCTGCAGCACTAATTCATGTCTGCTTTGTCTCGCCAAGCATCTGATGCAGTACGGTGAAGAAATATATCTTTCCCGTAGCCTTGGGCACACTTCTGAAAACGGGCATTGTGCCGAGAGGGATAGATTTTCTTGGAGCTGCAGGAGGAGAGCATGACAACGCAGAGAGAGCGTTTCAGAAGCAGACGGGTGGCAGTGGTAAGTGTAGTGGAAGAGGAGGCACATAGTGGACGTGATGACCTGTGTGATTCGCACCGAGGCGAGCTGGTCGGTTTTCGATGCTCTTCAACTTCTGCTTGGAAGTGAATATAAAAGTAAGAAAAATTCAAGCCAGGGTGAGGCATTGGTGCTGCATTTAAACTTTGATAGTGAAAGGTGTTTTGAGGTTCTTTTACGTAGTCATCTTCTCAATGCGGCTGAAATGCAGTCTGCTCAAGTTAATCACGGGCCTCAATATTCGTTTCCAAAGTAGAGAAATACAATGTTTTCTTTGGAATAATTCACTAGTGGAAACTGTCCAATCGTTGGGGAAGATGATCAACCGAACTATTGAAATGTGACGATTCAGACTTGTAACTGGTCAGGAGGCTGGATACGCCCATACAACCAGTGAAGCGGCAAGCAGTCTACAAGTAAGAGCAAATTGTTCTTTGAGCGTTGCACAGAAGAAAGGGCGTTTGGAGCGAGCAGGTTTCGTTCGTTTGTAGAGGCCCGGCAAGCCGCTAGAAGAAATCACCTTGCTGTTGACAGGTTGGCGACAGGCGTGTGCAACAATGCCAACGCGGTGAAGCGGTCGCCCTGTGTTCCGTTCGTGCTTGAATAGCAAACATGGTTAGTGCTTGCCTCGTGGGAATGGCCCTGACCATTTTCCATAAGCTAGTGGTGGTGATGCAAGACAGAATGTGAATTCCAGAATGTGAATTCCAGAATGGGCTGAATAGAGAAACCACGAGGTTTCCAGTGTCTAGCTTCCCCATGATTAATCTGGAAGAAGTCATTCAAAGTCAACTTTATGATCACTATCACCAGTCTCATCATTGTAGTCGGGGAATTACGAAAAGTATGTGCCCCACTTGTCTTTTGTGAAACTCAATTTGCTGACTGCCCAGGATGGCCAAAGTCTCTTTTCCGGTTTGATGGCTCATCCACCAATAGCATGTCAGAGTCGCCGTCATCTTTGCCCCCGTAAGAAAAAATCAACCCCCAGAAGAGTTGCGATGGCCATATGTGCGGAACGGTACACCAGAGCGGCGCTGGTTTGTGATGTCAGAGTGCATCCGGCGCGAAGTACCTGCATTGAGCGACAGGTGCCGATAATTCACGGGCTATGAATTAAGGTCGAAGCCGAATATGGTCCCGAATTGCGAGGGTCAACTTGGGAGCGTACGCATGTACTTATGTATATGCCCATCTCTGCACATATGCAGCAGATCTGTCTTGCAGATCTTATGCCAATCCGCCTCCGATGTGCCTACTGATCCGCATGCCACTAAGGAACCTTTAAGATTTTACTGTAAGCTGTCTTTGTGGCGGAAGAATATAAGCCGGGGCGGTGATTCGTCAGCTACCATGATCATGATTTCACTGGAGCTGAAGCAAGTCGAGCGAGATCCAGTTGTACTGTTTCAGCCGGTTCTCAACCACACGAAAAAAGGGAGTCTGCAGGGTAAAGGGGCCATATAATAAAGGGATCAAACATGGTGCTTTGAGGGTGACGTTTGATAGAAGGACGGGAAGAGGCGGGCGCCGATGGCAGGTTATGATGACAGCAAGGGAAATCGATATTGGTAACGTCATAGGGAAGGCACGCCCGGGCGCGCCTTCCGCATGCACACATGGATACATACATGAATACATGTACATATGCAGAGGGACAAGATGGCTTGCCATAGACCGAACACAGACCTCAGATATTCCCAAACCAGGAGGCAACAAAATAACAGAACAAACTCTGCGGCACGACGCGTTGACGCGTTGTGTGGCGGGATGGTGGGAGAAAACATGGGCGTCTCCACCGGGCAGCGCAGTCACGTGTGGCTGTCTCGGCTGCAGGCCAACCTCAAATGTTCGCCGAAGCAGAGCAGCTCTTCTTTTGTCGCCGCAATACGACTGCATTCCCCCCACCGAATCCCGTGCCACTAAATACTGTGCCACTGCCTCCTTGTCCCGCCTCGCACGAAACCACTGCCCGCCTGCCACCTTCACCTCGACTGGACCTGCCTCCAACACATCGCCGCATCCATCCCCACACTAAATCTTCTGGCATCGACACCACGCTTCCTCACCACTCCTTGACCCACCACACCATGGCTCCTACTTCTTTTGCTTCGGCAGCTGCGGGAAACAGTGCCAATCCAGCGCGCGTAGAAGCGGCCGGCGACTGGTAAGTCGGCCCTCGTCTCTGTTTGCATCTCTTCCACACGCATCATTCTTCACTCTGGGCGCGCGGCGCTCGCCCATTTCAAGTCGCTACAAATAACACACTGCTCTCTCGCCCTACACAACCCCCGATACCCATCGCTGCCAATATGTGGCGTGGCAATTGCTTTGATACTCACGCCGACCGCAGGGCCCGACGCACCAACGGTGCCACGCAAACATTCCGCCGACCCTCACACGCGACCAGCCTTTCAGGATCAACAACCCAACCAATCTCACGAGACCCTCCTGCGTCACAAACTCCCTCAACCAGCGCCGGCGTATATGTTCCCCCACATGCACAGCCTGGCCGCAATGGCAGTTCGTTTGAGGGCCGGTATTCGCGAGATCAACTGACGCAGTTGTTCCGGATACAGCAACAGGCCGGAGACCTCAGCGACGGACTGTCAGATTTGTACATGGGCGTATGGGAACCTCATGCTACCAACGGGGCCTCGGGCGCGTCCTGGGGCCGCAAAGACGATCATGGTGGTGGCAGGGAAGCGCCAAGCGGGGTCGATCAGTGCTGGGACAAAGACGGCAGCATATTGCCGCTGAGTCTCACAGACATGACCGACGAAGAGAGAGAGGTAGGCTGTTGCTCATTGCACAATGCAGTGACCGAGGCTAACGTGCGCTTTCTCGCTTAGATCTTCCTTTCGTCTGTCAACTCGCCGCTGAAACCCCCCACGCAGAACAACAACAAGGACGGCACTCCCAAAGAACCTCTGTCACTGCGCAAGTCTTCGGTGTCGCAAGGAGCGGGTACTCCCTACGGTCTGTCCTCGCCCACTACCTCGCGACCGGGCGCTCGACGTCGCGACACCGGCGAAGCCTACCCCTTCCCCTCCTCTCCCGCTACCTCACGATTCGCGCGCGAAGAAGGCAGTGCCGTCACCCCGCCGCCTGCTCTGGTACGTCGTCGGACGGATTACAAGGAGTCTGCAGAGGGTCGTCCGGGTGAAGAACGCGATCGGGAGAAGGGTGCTGGCGACAACTCAGGTCCTTTTGGTCCTGCGAAGCGCAGCACTACAGCGCCGTTCAGCCCAGGTGCTGGTGCATCGCCTTGGTCTGCAACGCCTGGTGGTGGCTTTGGTGCATTTGGAAGTTTCGCCAATCCACAAGCAGATAAGAAGCCTGGTTACGGTAGCTTGCGCGGCGAGAGTCGCTTCAAAGGTCTAATGGGCAAACCAAGTGTTGAGGACTTTGGCAACGGCCCGAAGGACAAAGCTTCGACGAATAACTTGGGCAAGCTTAGCGAGGCAGAGCCCTCAAAAACTGATGTATCGTGGATGGAGGCCCGCACCAACCGACCAATGAGCAGCGACACAGATCCTTTCCCCGACCATGACCACCCAACGGGCAGTGCTGCGCTTCGCGGCGAAGACGTTAGTCCGCCCCGACCTCAAGGCTTCGGTAATTTCGCAACGCCCCACCGCCCAGACCACCGTGATGACTCTGGATTATCTGCATTCGGAATGACTACCGACAACATGTATAGCAAGAATAATTTCACAGAGCAGTCGCCCCTCCGTGGAGCTGGTAACGAGCCCATGAGCCCGACGGATACCAATCCATACCAAAGCCCGCATCACGCACGGGATCAGCATGACGACTCGGACGATTCCGGCGACCAAAACGCCCACTTTCCTGGCATGAGCAGCTTCCACATTGACCAGTCAGTCCACTCAAGCATTCACAATGCCTTTGGTGGGCTTGGAGGCCTTGGAAAGGCTGTGCCGTTCGAGACTGCAGCAAGCGATCGTAGTCAAACCTCCAGCGTTGGTCCCAATCGAGGTTTTCCTACCTTGCCTGGCCTTGGTGGTGGTCTGCCTGGTCTGGGAGGTGCCTCGGCTTGGCCATCTCACACCTTGGGTACCCCAACCCGCGAACGCGGCGGTCTCGGTGGCTTTGAAAGTGCTTTCGGAAACGTAGGTGAGGCTCAATCACCTTCTCTGGCCGGCCTAGGCAACAGCTCGTTGTTTGGTCATGGCCATGGCACAGTAGGCCGTTCTAGCAGACTCGGCTCCTTGTTCCCAGCTTCTATGCAAGAGCAGATGCGATCCAACGACCCGAATCGAGCCCCGGTTGACGATGGCTCTTCGCACGGTGATCGTCAGCATAGCATGACTGGCACTTTTGGAAGAAACGCTTTTGGCGGCCAAGCGCCCGCTCGTGATACGGATAGCCCTTTCCGCGCAAACCGCAATCTTTTCGACGACTTCTCTAATGCCCATCATGACGATCATAACTCAACAGGACAGCCCCAGAATATAGCTACTACCTCCCTCTCTATGGCTGCCTTGAACCCGACCAGGACTGCCCAGCCTTCAACCCCAGGCGTTGGAAGCCCAGCTTCTAGTCAGCCTCCAGTTCCTCAACAGCGTATGATGGTCATGCCTGATAGAATGAGGTGGATCTACCGTGACCCATCAGGCAATGTTCAAGGTCCATTTTCTGGTCTGGAGATGCACGACTGGTACAAGGCTGGATTCTTCTCGCCTGAGTTGCTAGTCAAGAAGGCCGAAGAACCCGACTACGAACCTCTGGCGCAGCTTATCCGTCGTATTGGCAACTCGCGTGAGCCTTTCTTGGTCCCTCAAATTGGCATTCCTCATGGTCCCGCCACATCTCAGCCTGGTAACTCCTGGGCCGGTGCCGGTCCTAGTGCTGCTGCTGCTCCAGGCGCTCAACCTCCGTTTGCAAACAGCTTCCCGAGCTTCGGAACCACTCTTACTGCCGAGCAACAAAATGCACTTGAGCGTAGAAAACAAGAAGAGCAATACCTCATGGCTCGTCAGAAAGAACACTTAGCTGCACAGCAACAAGCGCTTGCCCGCCAAGTCCAGATGGGAGTAATACCAAACCAGCTCAATCACCACTCCAGTGCGCATAGTCTGCACAGCCAACCAAGCTTTGGTAGTATCACGTCACCTGGCGGATATCAGCCATCACCCCCTCAAGGAGCGGTACCAGGAGCACCCGTTCCTGGGCTAATTGATAGTACATTCAGAGCTGGTCCTGGTCCAGTACCTGGTCTAGGCCCTATTGGCCCTGGTATGGACATGATGAGCAATCGCAGAGACCAAGATGTGCCCGCTATGATGGATCGTCTCAACTTGGGACGAAACAATCAGCCCCAGTTTGGCTTCGGTGGACAACAGCAGGACCAAGATGCACATGCGCAATATGTGGCTTCAGTGATTGGCGACCGGGCTCGCTTGAAGCGCGAACAAGCTGAACATGATGCCATGATCCGCCAGGGCAGCGCTGAAGACGTACAGGCTGCTCGCAATTTCGCCGAGCGCTTTGCAGAGTTCAATGAGCTCCGAGTCCAGACAGATATGGAACAGCCAAAGGCGGTTCCTCCGCCAGAGGGTGTCATTGGAAAGCCTTCGTCTTCGTCGGCTCAGCAATCACAGCAAGCATCTGAGCCTGCATCGCCCGTTGGTGCAGATGGTCAAGAACACCAATCTGAAAACAAGGAGCAGCCATCTTCTACTGGACAAGAGCCACTATCGCTTACTGAACAAGTGCAGAAGGCTGCTTCTGCTAAGCAATCCCCTCAATCTGCAAGTGCGTGGAACAAGGTCGAGCCCGCAATTTTTCCATTCCCGCCACCACCATCTCAATCCCCTCTTCCCGCACCTGCCGCTCAGAGGAAACCAATCGTTGCCGAAAATCTCAATGCCGAATCTCGCTCGGGTGCAGCAACCCCAGCCGCCGATACCCCAAGCGTCTCGGTTGCACCATGGGCGAAGGAGCCTGTTAATGCATCCCATGGGCCTTCTCTGAGGGAGATTCAAGAGATGGAAGCAAAGAAGGCCGCAGAGCGAGAGGCTGTTGCAGCTGCAGCTCGTCGTGAAGCATTCGAGAAGGAGCTCCAAGCTCAGAATCAGTCACCTGCGGTGCAACCTGGTTTGCCTTCCAGCTCGACTTGGGCAAGCGGTGCATCTCCCGTCACACCCAGTGCAAACAGTGCTTCCGTATGGACCAAGCCTGTGGCAAGTAAGGTCGCCGCACAACCAACTCCAAGTTCTAAGAAGACGCTTCAGCAAATTCAGAAGGAGGAGGAAGCTCGAAAGCAACGTGCCGCAGCTCAAAGTGTTGCTGCAGCCAACGTATTTGGATCGCCAGTCCCACCGCCATCTGCTGGAAAGCGATATGCTGATTTGGCGGGCAAGAGCACCCCTGCGTCGCCTGCAGGACCTGCAGGGCCTCCTGGTAGCAGCCCATGGACCACGGTTGGCGCAAGTGGAAAGGTCAAGGCACCAGGTGGTACGACAACGCCCGTCCCTGGCGCCGTTCGCTCGGCTAGTACTACCATAGTGCCCTCTCTCGCTAAGAAGCCTACAGTCGCTCGCAGTAGTACTGCAGGAGCACCGTCTGGAAAGCCGAATGCGGAAGAAGAATTCCGCAAGTGGGCTGTTAATGAGCTCCGCCACGAT